TTCTTCTTCTTCTTCTTCTTCTTCTTCTTCTTCTTCTTCTTCTTCTTCTTCTTCTTCTTCCTTTTCTTCCTCTTCTTTCTTCTCCTCTTCTACCTAGTCCTAGCTGTCCTGGAATTTGGCAAGTAGACCAGGCTGGCCTTGAACTCAAAGAAGTCCTTCTGACTCTGCCTCCCAAGTGCTGGCACACTGAAGGTGTGTGCCAGCACATCTGGCTTATTTATTTATTTGATTCAGGATCTATGCAGCCCAGGCTTCAAACCAGTGTGATCTTTCTGCGTGCTCTCCTGAGTGCTTGGATTACAGGCCTGCAGCCTTACACCTGGGTCTCGGGAAGCAGTTTGTTTATTTTTATTTTTTACATGGGTGTTTTGCTTACATGTATGTATGTACACCACGTCCGTGCCTGGTGTCCACAGAGGCCAGGAGAGGGCATCTGACCCCAGGAACTGGACTTGCAAATGGCCTCAAGCCCCCATGTGTATGCTGGGAGGACCCAACCGCAGTCCTCAGCAAAAGCAGCAAGTGCTCTTAACCACCAAGTCATCTCTTCAGTCCCTCCTGAGCAGTTCTAAATCCAAGCAGACTAACGGTCGAAACTGACCATCACAGGCCTTAACTACCGTGGCCGTGGCCAGACAGTCTCTTATCGTAGCATCCTTGCCTCTGACTGCCTGTTCTCGCAGCTGTGGACTGCCACATCCCCTCCCCCCCCCACCCTGCACCTTTGGCAAAGCCGAGGCAGGCAGCTCTGTCCACATTGTGGATGTCCCTGGTTTGTCCCAGGAAGCGTCCAAACCTGGTACCGGGCTCAGCAGCACTAGATCTGCAATCCTGATGTGCCCCGAAGGTTCCCTAAAGCTCCCCAGCAGAGCCGAGCACCGGCTGGCCAGAAAAGTAACCTCATCGCCACCAAATTGCTTCTGTACTGTTGCTTTTTCCTGCTGAACTCTCCCCTCTCCCCTGCCTCAGTTTCCCAGCATCAATCTCCGACTCTACCGGTACCAATGGATTTTCCTACTCTTGGGATGGCCTCCATGTCTTCCTGCCACCTCTGCGTGCTCTCTGAAGTTTCTGAAGGCTTCCCTAGGCTTTTGAGCATCTAGTACCCACTGTGCTGGGCCAGGATCGTTGATGAACTTTGCTAATGATCTGAAAAGGCGGGCCCCAGGGCTGAGTTAATTTTAGCTGCAATTTTTCAATAGACATAAGTGGAAGGAGCCAAGAGTGTACTCCTAAATCTTCAGCAGAGCTTGGAAAACGCCAGGGTCGATGGACATACCGCCACCTCCAAGGTCACGTCACTCCTCTGCTCAGGTGGCTTTCTTAGAGCAAGGCCAACCTCAGCTCACCCAGGCGGTGTCTCCTTTGCAACAAGGGCTTCTGGGAGACCATGCTCCCCACACGCTTGCATCCAAGTTCCTGTGGGCCCTCACACCACACCCCTCCTCCTGTAGAACCATCTGAAAGAAGAGCGTGGGATCACCCACCCCTACTTCCCCTGTCCCCTCACATCTCTCTCCACCCGAGGTCGTCCATGCGAGTAAAGACAGGCAAGAGCAGACAGCAGACACATCTCTCTGGGTCAACCGGTCCAGCCTCCTGACTCTGACCCATTTCTTATCTTCTCTCCCTCTCTTCTACAGAGCTCTGGTCAGTGTGTTTGCTTGCGTTCTATCCCTTATCTCAGGAGACACAGGTCATAGTGTCAACTTTCCTCCCTTCCAACCAGTGAAATGATCTCCCCTCTGCCTAAAAGAAGAAAAGTGGTACTGGACAGAACCGAGATAGAAGCCTCCCCGGGAAGGTGGTGCTGAGATCGGGGGTCAGGTGTGTGGGCATCTAGCTAGGATGCAGGGCCATGAACAAGGATATAAGTAAGTACTGGACACTGAGTTGCTCAGGTGCTTCATACAGGGTGGGGGAGAGAGAAGACAGAGGTGTGGGGGGGGGAGAGAGAGAGACAGAGACACACAGAGAGAGGGTCTCTGAGTTGTCCTTGCCTCTCGCGTGTTTCTGAGTCTCTTACTGTCTCTGTGCTCACCCCTCTCCCACTCCACTCCAGCCTTTCGGTCTAAGCCGGCCCATCCTTTTAGTCTCTGTCTGTTCTAGCGCTGTCCCTTTGCCTCAGTGTCTGCCTCAGACATTCAGGGATAGCCTTCTTTTCAGCAGCTCCAGGGCGTCTCCATGGAAGGTGGTGCTAGGGGCGCGCCTTTGAGAGAAGGGAGGAGGGGGGCTGCCTACGCCTTTAAGCGCGGGCGCGCGCGGGCGCGCGGGGCCTGCGCCTTTAAGCGCGTGCACGAGCACGGCCCTGGGTTCCCGGCGAGGAGGCCGCGGGAGCACCCGGACCCGGTCCGCCTGCCCGGCCCCCGCCCGGCCCCCGCCCGGCCCCCGCCCCGGCCCCGGCGGGGGAGGGGTCTCTGAGCGCGGCCCCTCCCCCCTGCGCCCCTGCCGGCGTTGCGGTGCCCGGGTCCCCGCGTGGCCTTGTCTGTCTGTCCGTCTGTCCGCGCCCAGGCCTCGCCCCACCCTGGCCCTGGAGCTGCCCGGCTGCCCCCCTACCCGCCGCGGCGGACCCACTCTTTCTGAGCCAGTCCCCTCGGCAGGCCACGCACCCAGCCGCGCGGCGGCTGCCCAGACCCTGGGCCGGCACCCCGGCAGCGGGGGCTCTTGCAGCCGGCGACCGGATCCAGATATCCTGAAACCCCCGAGCATGGGACCCCGATTTGGGATCAGCACCCTGAGCTCCTGCCATGGAACCCTAAGACCTGGACCTTGAACCTCAATATCTGGGGCTGGAATCCGGACATCTGTACCTGGGACCCCAAGGTTTGGGAACTGAACCCCATGATTTTGGAGCATGGACCCCCAAGCTTTGGACCTGGGACCCCAAGATTTGGCATCTAAACCCCCAGATTTGGAGCTGAACTCTGAATTGTCTGGCTGACACGGTAGCATCTGGGAGCCAATTCCCAAATCTATACCTGGGACCCTACTATTTTGGGAAGTAAAGCCTGAGATCTAGGCCTTCAGTTCCCAGATCAGAAGCATGGGATTCGGAGGGACCTGAAATCCTCGCTGCAGAGCCGGGTGCTGAAAGCGGGGGCTACAGACCTCCGAATCTTGACTCAGCACCCTAGGATCTGAACAGGAGCCCAATTTCGGATTTCAAGACCGGACTTGGAATTCAGACCCTAAACTTCCCCGGGTCACTCCAGCCCAGTACTGAGAGAGCCTGGTGACTCTAAAAAGCGGCTGGGGCCTTGGTCTCTAAAACTGGACTCTACAGGCCCAATTTTAGTGGCCTGGGACCCTGGGAGTCAAGTTTGGAGACTCCATAGCCACAGACTGGAGTGGAGACAGGGCAGTTCCTCCACAGAGGCCCTGGGGACGGGAAGGCTTGACTGGATGCCCTCTGACCTCTCACCCCTCGGAGCCTGAGGACTCTGCTCCCTGGGGGTGGCTTCCAGTTCAGGTAAGGCCACCAAGAGACCTCCAGGGTGGGAAGGGACTGGCTGGGGTGCGGTCCCTTGGGCTACAGGTGGGAGTGGGTGAGGGCCAGGCGCCCTGTGGCATTTTGGAGGGTTTCCCTTGGGTAGAGTCTGTTCCACGAGTGTGCCCCGAACCCCCTCCGGACGCATGGCCCCAGCTCTGCCCTCTCCGACCTCCCTGGCCCAGCAGATGGTACTCCAGCCCTCCAGGCCACCACCCTTCTCGACGCTCACCTGCTGACCATCTCCGCAGCCTGGCTGGTCCCTTCACCTCTCCTCTCAACGACAGTTTCCGCTCCCTCACGGCTCCGAGCAGCCTTGACACCCGTGTCCACTTCTCCTCCAGTCACCGCTGTCCCCAGCTTCTCCCACGGACACCTCTGCTCCCCTTTGTCTTTTCGGCTTTCTCGCCTTTTGCCCGCTCTCGGCCCCCAGGCTGGGTCTGTGGCCATCACCAGCTGTACCCGTCTGTACCCGGCGTCTCCACCAGTCTTTAGCCGCTACCCTGTTCATCTCCCCTGCCAGGTTCCTCCTTCCACTACGCCCCTACCCCAGCCCTAACTCCCGGGTACCCGCATCTGGCCGTCTCTGGCCGTGTCCACCTTGGCTGCCTTCCCTCTCATCACCTCTCTTCACGTCCTTCGCTCTGGCCAGTTGTCCTGGTTCCCTACTGATTCAGGCGCACCTGTCCTTTCTCCTCTCTCTGCTGGTCTCACCGGCTTCTAACCAGGTCAAAACTCTTCTGTCTCCTTCTGTCCGCCTCTGACCTGGCCCCTCTCTTCGCTCACCTTTTCTCTTTAGTCACTCCTGACCTCTGCTGATAACCTGCCCACCTCTTCTCTATGGTGGCATCTAAACCCCCTGGCTTACCTTCTCTCCACCTTGACCATCTGTCCCAGGCTCTGCTCACCCGGGCCCATCTCCAGCCAGCTTCCTGACCATACTGCTCATGACCCTCTGTGCCTTCGTGACACATCTCTGACGCCCCCCTCCCCTGACCACCGCTGCCTCTCCGAGCCTGTTCTAACCGTCTCTCCGGTTCCAGGTCACCCCAACCCCTGTAAGGCTCCCGTTCTGGCCCTAGCCCGCCCTGACACTCCTTCTCCTCCTCCTTCTCCTCAGGCCACCCCTGCCCGCGATGGCAGCCCTTCCACTGCTTCTCTGCCTGCTACCGCTGGCCCCCGCCTCGTCTCCCCCCCAGCCTGCCACATCCAGCGCCTGCCCCCGCCGTTGCCGCTGCCAGACCCAGTCGCTGCCCCTAAGCGTGCTGTGCCCAGGGGCCGGCCTCCTGTTCGTGCCGCCCTCGCTGGATCGCCGAGCGGCAGAGCTGCGCCTGGCGGACAACTTCATCGCCGCGGTGCGCCGCCGGGACCTGGCCAACATGACGGGCCTGCTGCATCTGAGCCTGTCTCGGAACACCATCCGCCACGTGGCGGCCGGCGCCTTCGCGGACCTGCGCGCCCTGCGCGCCCTGCACCTCGACGGCAACCGGCTGACTGCGCTGGGCGAGGGCCAGCTGCGCGGCCTCGTCAACCTGCGCCACCTCATCCTGAGCAACAACCAGCTGGCGGCCCTGGCGGCGGGGGCCCTGGACGACTGCGCCGAGACCCTGGAGGACCTGGACCTGTCCTACAATAACCTCGAGCAGCTGCCCTGGGAGGCCCTGGGTCGCCTTGGCAACGTCAATACTTTGGGCCTGGACCACAATCTGCTGGCTTCGGTGCCCGCCGGAGCCTTCTCCCGCCTGCACAAGTTGGCACGACTGGACATGACGTCCAACCGCCTGACCACCATCCCTCCGGACCCGCTCTTCTCCCGCCTGCCGCTGCTCGCGCGGCCCCGAGGCTCGCCAGCCTCCGCCCTGGTGCTGGCCTTCGGGGGCAACCCGCTGCACTGCAACTGTGAGCTGGTGTGGCTGCGGCGCCTGGCCCGGGAGGACGACCTGGAGGCGTGCGCCTCGCCACCGGCTCTCGGGGGCCGCTACTTCTGGGCTGTGGGTGAGGAGGAGTTTGTGTGCGAGCCGCCCGTGGTGACGCACCGCTCGCCTCCCCTGGCGGTGCCTGCGGGTCGGCCAGCGGCCCTGCGGTGCCGGGCGGTAGGCGACCCCGAGCCCCGGGTGCGCTGGGTGTCCCCCCAGGGTCGGCTGCTGGGCAACTCCAGCCGAGCTCGTGCCTTCCCGAACGGGACCCTGGAGTTGCTGGTCACTGAGCCGGGGGACGGCGGCACCTTCACCTGCATCGCAGCCAACGCGGCCGGCGAGGCCACCGCGGCTGTGGAGCTGACCGTGGGCCCCCCTCCGCCTCCCCAGCTAGCCAACAGCACCAGCTGTGACCCCCCGCGGGACGGGGATCCTGACGCCCTCACCCCGCCCTCTGCTGCTTCGGCCTCCGCCAAAGTGGCGGACACTGTGGCCCCCACCGACCGCGGCGTCCAGGTGACTGAGCACGGGGCCACAGCTGCTCTCGTCCAGTGGCCGGATCAGCGGCCCGTCCCGGGCATCCGCATGTACCAGATCCAGTACAACAGCTCGGCAGACGACATCCTCGTGTACAGGTGCAGGGGCCTGGCCGTGGGGGGAGCGGGCACGTTTGGGGGTGGGCGGGGTCGTGTGGGTCCACCCCAAAACACCCCATAATGAACCACAGCAGAGACATAACTCTGCACGTCACCGAAGAAGATCAGAACGTGCAGGCAAGCAGAATTATGAGAACCAGGGTCGGGCAGAAAGGGCAAGAGAAACCGGACAGATGTGGTGAAGGGAAATGAGACAGGGAGAGTAAATCGACCAACGCTCTCGATCCATGACAATAATTAAAAAAAAAAAAGGGTCAGGCTGCAGGTGTGTAAAGAAATAAGGCTGTGAAGACAAATGGTGACAAGCATCAAAGAACTCAGGCATCGAGGGAGGAGAATGAGACGTTAATGGTTAATGGCGGCTTAGTGTAGCTGCAGAGAGCGGGCGTGTGGCACTGAGGTCTAGGCCCAGCACTCAAAAAAGAAAAAGTTAATGAGGTTGTGGGAGGAATGGGAGGCTAAAAACACATTTTATCAGGAAGTTCGGTTTCTCCAGGGGAGGCTACAGTAGGGGAAAAGCGATCGGCAGGAGGTGGACGCAGGATCAAGGCCAGCCTGGTCTACCTCGGGAGCATGAAGCTTGGCCAGAGATTTATAGTAAACACTGCCCCAGAGAGGGGGTGGGAGGAAGGAGAGGAGAGGAGAGAGAAAGAAGGGGTAGAAATGAAGAGAAGGGGCAGAAAGGGGGAAATGATGCATCGAGAGGAAATAAGAGCAGAGGTTAGGTGGGAAATGGGGGGGGGAGGTTAAGTAGAGTGGAGACCTTGGGTTCCGGCAGCATGCGCCCCACCTGTCAACGCTCTGGGAAAAGTAACATCCCCATTTTTGGTTTGCTAAACCAAGTCTAAGCTAGGTCAGATGTGTCAATGCATGGGTGTCTGCCTTCCCAGCTCTCGAGAGGTTGAGGCAGGAGGATAGCAGGTTCATGGGCCTTGTAACAAAACAAAACAAAAACAAACCAAAGAAGCGAAAACCTAGTCTGCTTTCCCTGTGGGCAGAAACTCCCAGGCTGAGGGCTTCCGGCACCCTCTCAGAGCTGCGAACACAAAGCCTGAAGTTTACACACTCCGAAAAGGCCAGTCGTATAGCTTCTGTCCGCAAGCCAGACAGCCCTTGGTCCATCTGCTGTGACCACAAGTGGATGGACATGGTGGTGGCTGACACTCCCCACCAAAGCCTGACCTTGCCTGCCTAGCTGTGGCTGGCTGCCTGTCCTCGATGCCAGGCTGGGCCGAGGGTACAGCCCCAAGCGGACTGTAACCTTCCGCGCACTGCGTTAGCACCGCAAACCCAGTGCCTGGATCCCTCCCTGCCCCTCCAAGCCTCCAGATACCCTCTCCGTCTCTGTCTCCCTCCCCTCCTCTCCCCCAACCCCCTTTCTTTGTGGACCAGAGCTCATGTAGCCCTGGCTGGCCTCAGACTGGCCACAAAAGCCAAGAATGGCGTTGAACTCCTCGCCCTCCTGCCTTCACCTCCCACCACACAGGGCTTTTCCAGTCCTCTTCTGAGATTGCCTGCAGGCATGGCCACCTGGCCGGGTGGGGGCGGGACAGTCCAGGAACAGCCACCCTGCCACAGGTGGTTATAGACTTCCTCCTGTTGCTCTCCTGAAAGCAGCTTAGGGGCAAAACAGATTCTAAAAGTAGCCCGGCTCCCCGTCAGGATACCCTGAGAGGAAAAGAGACAGAAGAACTGGGTGGGAAAGACATCGGGAAATGAGAGCTGCCGTAGAGCTCACGCCTTAATCTCAGCTCTGCAGAGACTGAGGCAAGCGGAGTGAGAGAGTTCCAGGTCAGCCTGGGACACTCACAGCACACACACAGGCATGCGGACCTGCACACACACACATACACACGCACAGGCATGCAGACATGCACGCGAGTACTCACACGTGTGCACACAGTTCTCGAAGGTAGGGCTAAACAGAAACCGGGAAACGGAGATAGAGAGAGAACTGAAGGGCCGGGCCTGGCAAGAACTAGGGCAACGGGGAGAAAGGGGACCTGAGGTGGGGAGTCTCCCGAGGGCTCGCCGGAGAACACTGTAGAGAGGTGCTATCACAGTGAGGCTGGGGGAAACGTATTGGCCAGCGAAAAGGAAATGAAGCAACTGGGGTACGGGGGATGGTTAGGGCGGTCAGCGGCCCACGAGGGGACAGGGGAGGTTAGAGGCTGGAAAGAAGTCTGCCAGCCAGGCCCGGGGCGCACGCCTGTGACACCAGCCCTTGGAGGTGGAGGGGGGATCGCCAGGAGTCCACCAGGCTAGCCTTGGCTAAGCTCCCCGTAAGACCCTGTCTTAAACAAGCAATCCCTTCCCCGCCTTTCAGCTAAGCTGAGTGGAGTGCCTGCTCCTATCAGGGTACTGTGGCTTGCCCTCTATCCGAGGACAATACAGTAAATGGATTTTTGGAGCCAGGAGAGGGAGCTTGCTGTATGCACTCCACACATGGAGCCCTGGGAACGGTGCCCCCTTCAAGGGCATAAAGCGAACAAAAGCCAACCAGGGACCGGAAGGAGAGAGGCTGGAGGAAGGATGGCTGGGTCGCTGGAGAAAGCGGGGGTACTGGTCAGGTGTGCTGTAATTTCCAGCACGCTGCAGGCGGGGGGGGGGGACTTCCCAAGATATGAGCTAGCCTTGGCTACATAGCAAGATAGGGAATTTGAGTGGTGGG